CAATCTCAAAGCTATACAAGCCGTTCTCGATGATGCAGAGAAGAGGCAAGTGATGGAAGCCGTCGTGAGATATTGGTTGGATAAGCTGAAAAATGTATCGTACGAGATGGATGATGTGCTGGATGAGTGGAACACTAAAATTATGATGCAACAAGTTGACAACCATGAAAAAGAAGGTGATATAACTCTTCTTGTTACCAAGAAGAAGGTATGTTTCTTGATTCCCTTTGATTGCTTTTGTTTTGGCCATGTCAGTCGAGTGATTCTTCGTCGCGACATTAAACTTAAGCTAAAAGATCTGAATAACAAGTTGACTGAGATTGCTGAAGAACGAAAAGCATATAAGTTTCAACACACAGAAGGAAGAGTTGAACAACCTGAACGGCAGAAAAGCTCATCGTTTCTTGATATATCTAAGACATTTGGCCGAGAAAATGAAAAAGATATTATAGTAAGCAAGTTGTTGAGTGAGAGTAGTCAAGAAATTATAAGGGGTCCCCTTGTTATCCCCATTGTGGGGATGGGAGGAATGGGAAAGACAACTCTTGCACAACTAGCCTATAATGATGAAAATGTCAAAGCGCATTTCGAAAGGAGAATATGGGTTTGTGTCTCAGACCCTTTTGATGAGATAAAGATTGCCAAAGCCATCATTGATGGTAATGGAACCCCAAACTCAGATGAATTGGAAGCTTTCTTGCAATGTATGTCAAAATCTGTAGAAGGGAAAAAGTTCCTCCTTGTCCTAGATGATGTGTGGACTCAAGACCACAGAAAGTGGGAACAATTAAAGTTACCTTTGCTGAAAGGTGCTATGGGTAGTAGAATACTGGTGACCACACGAAAAGAGGAAGTTGCTATTATGATGGGAGCAAAGATGAGCCACATGATCCATTTGAAGCAATTGAGTGAAGAATCATGTTGGTCCTTATTCTATCACCTTGCATTCTTTGACAAGGAAGAAGATGAATCTAATGTGTTTGAAGCTATTGGTAAGGAAATTGTCAAAAAGTGTAAGGGTTTGCCTCTTGCTGCAAAGGCTTTAGGTAGTCTCATGCGCTTTAAGAAAACTAAGAAAGAATGGCAAGATGTCTTGCACAGTGAGATATGGGAAATTGAAGAGGTTGAACAAGAGGTTTTTCAACCGTTATTGCTAAGTTATTATGATTTGGCATCGGGGGTCAAACGTTGTCTTTTGTATTGTGTTATTTTTCCAAAAGATTATGAGCTCGATAAAGATAATTTGATTGAGTTGTGGATGTCACAAGATTATCTTAGTTTGGAAAGAAACCAAGAAAAGGAAATAGTAGGTGAAAACTGTTTCAATAACTTAGTAATGCGGTCGTGGTTTCAAGATTTTAAGAAAGATGACGACGGCAATATTACCGTCAAAATGCATGATATTGTGCATGACTTTGTGCAGTTTCTTAACCGCGAGGAATGTTACATCATGGAGGTTAAGGATGCTAACAAGAGAATTGAGCTACCAAGTGATAAGGTCCGCCATTTGACCTTAATCCTTGCATCGGATGATCGATTTGCATGTCCTGTTCCTCCTATTTCATTTGATCATTGCAAAGTTCTGCGCACCCTGTCATGTTTCGATTCAAGAATCACTATCTTAGACCGAGATCTCATTTTGCAATTGAAATGTCTTAGGACTTTAAATTTGAGTGGTAACAAAATCAATGAACTTCCAAAGGAGATTGGCGAGTTGATACATTTGAGGTACATTGATTTGTCTGGTAATAATCATCTGAAGGAATTACCAAACACACTGTGTAATTTATACAATCTACAGTCCTTGCGCCTCACTGGGTGCAGGCACCTTGCAAAACTACCTAAGGCCATAGGGAAGCTGATTAACTTAAAGCATCTTCATATTAAGAACTGTTATACGTTGAAGTACTTGCCAAAAGGGATTGGGAGATTAAGAAGTCTGCAGGTATTAGATGGGTTTAGTGTACGTGCTGTTGACAACAGTGAAACACTCCAGTTAGGTGATCTGGGAATCTTGGACAAGCTTCAGGGTAGCCTTTTTATCAAAGGGCTGGGGAATGTGAGAGACACTAGTGAGGCTGAGAAAGCACAATTAGCGAATAAAAGACACATCCTTCGTTTGGAACTAGATTTTTCGAATGGAGATAAGCGACGACAAGGAGAAAGAGATGGAGAAATGCTGAGTTTCTTAGAACCACCTCAAAGTTTGGAATTTTTAAGCATTAGTGGTTACTGTGGCGGCACCTTCAGCTATCCCAACTGGATGATTTCTCTACCTAATTTGAGAACCCTTGTTCTTCGTTCTTGGAAAAATTGTGATTTTTTGCCTCCTCTTGGGAAATTGCCGTCCCTTCAAACACTGAGCATAGATGATATGCCTAGTGTGAGAAAGGTTGGAGTTGAATTTTTGGGAATAGAAGAAACTTCAGCATTGTTAAAATCATCCTCACCAACTGTTTCATTCCCAAAATTGAAAAAGCTCAGCTTCTCTGGAATGTGTAGTTGGGAAGAATGGAAAGGAGTGGGAGGGTTGGTGGAAGAGGATTCTGAAGTTAGAATAAT